TTTTTTTTTTTCGAATTTTTGGCTAAGGTTCAAATTTGACCGTAATTTACTTTATTTTTTCGCTGTGGTAGGATAACATAGGCTAATATGATTTTGAAGGAAAATTTATTTGTGAGAGTAAGCTTTGTCCTTTCAACTCGTAGGATAACATCTTAACCCGTACTAGGCGGGAGGGAGTATGTATCCCTTAACCTGAACTCATATATGATTTTTAGTTATGGGCCGATCATAATCAGTCTATAAATCCTCGGCTACCGTTCCCTGCTAGCAGCTAGAGTCCTCGGCCCTCGTTGGCGATCCTTCCCAAGAACCATCGCCAACGAAGGGAGACTCTGCTAAAAGCTAGGGAAGGGATAGCAGTCTCTCGATCCGGGGGCCGAAATGTCGGGCATAGCCGTAAATGCGCGCTGCCATAAGATTATTCAGCACTCAATGTCTGGAAGTATTGTCCTAGTTAATAAATCAATCATCATCAATAAGTCAACTATAGAATTACAGTTTCATATAGATGAATGGGCCGGGAAGTTTTGAACTGCGCGGCGGTGAAGCTATCTCCGGTTGTTATTTTTCCGAGCACACTTCTGATTACAAGTCAGAAAATCTCTCTCTTGCTGTCTCCTTCTGTTTGTTAAAAGCATAAAACCCTCAAAATATCCAAAACAAAATTTATTGGAGAAATACGTTTAGTTTTTTCTTTCATTTTACTCTATTTTTCAGTTGCTGTAGCAACAGCGATATTTCTTTTCCGTCACGTGACACCAATACAAATCAACTTTCGAGTTGGGTTTATATTTCGGATACATGGCTTCAAAAACCCTTCATATATTACTAAAAACAACGTTTAGAGGACGGAAAAATAATAAACAAGAGGCAGTGTGGGTTGTTGGTGGATTATCTAAAGGGAATGATGAAATTCAAGGTCGACTAAAACCAAAAGATCACATGTTTTGATCGCATGTCGTACATCAAGGTAAGAGTGTGTACAAACAGACAAACGAGGGAGCTCAAATAAGCCTAACATTCCCGCTTGTTTAAGTTCCTTTTAACTCTACGATTGACCAGAAAACTCGCACAGATATTACTGAAGACCTTTTTCACGCTCAAGAGGTGTAAAAATTGATCTGTGGTAATCCTTTGATCGCGAAAAACGAATTCCTTTTGTCGGTCGATTCCCCGAAGGCAAGAAAGTGTGAACGCGCGATAAATTCATACAGTTGGCCTGAAATAAAATATTTTATCTCCTTGATCAATTATTTTATATCTTATTTTGAAACTTTAAATGAAAGAATAGGGATATTTTAAGCTTTGAGTAAAGGTGCTAGAGTCTTAGGAGTTTAATTGATGGCTTTAACTACGATCAAAAGATTTAGTGTAATGCTTGACCGTCGCTACCAAATCTCAAACTACGCTCTAAGATCCTTAATTCGATATTCTACAAAACAGAACTGAATATACGAATAAATGTTAGTTTTTATATTCCTTTTAACACCTTAAGTTTACGGTCAAAGTGTACTGTTTTGTGATTTTAAAGATAGCTTCGAATATAAACAATTCATACGAGTTAGAATAACTGGTCATTGCTCTTTTGTTTATTGAACTTGTTTCGAATGGTTATGTTTACATGTAGATTATCGTTCGTTAAATAATGACTTGAAGTATTCGAGCAATGCTCTACTTTCTGTTCTCCGGACTAATGGCTTTATGACTTTTCATTTTAATATTTCTGTCGGCCTAATTTTATTCGCCACACAATTATAAGCCAAGGTTGTCATTCATTTAGAATGTTTGGTAATATTTTTTTATCTTCTTTTACTGCTATTTTGCCACCATAGGTAGTTTGCAATCATTCCTAAAGCTGCCGATGCACTGCAATTCTTTTCTTGCTTTAGCAATATATGTAATTCTTATTTCATGCACATTGGTAAACAACATTGTTAGATTCAAAATGTTAAGAAAAGTGAAACAGGTATTTAATTACTTAGCAAGCCTGTTGCTACGGGTGGTTCTATTGTTCGAACGACCCCCCCCCCCCCACCTTTGTAGGAGTACGATATAATAATATCTATTTAGAGCTATTTTAGTTATACAAGAAATGGCATTAAGCACTGCTTTCAAAGTCCTAATATTGTATTATGGTATACAAGCTGTGGTTATGATGAATGTTTGTGTGGTTAATGTGATTAATGTGAGGGGGCCTCATTCACTAGTAGCCTTTTGTAACCTTACGCCAGGCCGACCTCATTGCTGGCACTGAGGGTAGTCACTGCCAGGGTTTGTTGCGTCCTCAGTGGTTCTTTTTCATCCCACAAGTCAGAGAGCCTGGGTACTGTTATTTAACATGTTCATCCGAGCCATAAGGCATTCAAAGTACCCAATATAGAGAGCCAAGGTTTTTACACCTTACAAATTTTACCCCTCAGCCAGGGCTCAAAACCACTGTCCCTTAGAGTGAGCTTCACCACCTAGCCTTCTAAGTTGATAGTCAAAATTTTTTGCTTATAATTTTATTTCAGATCAGAAACAAACAAGAAGTTCAGTACGTAGCTTAGTATAAAAAAATGGGTGCAGGTAAGTGATAAGTAAATTAAAATTTTACACTCATGAAGCATGCATTGCTTGTCACAGTGGAAATTTCCAAGTATTTTCTATTATCTTTTCTTAAAATGAAATATCTTCTGCCAACAACAATGAAAAATACTTTTTCTGAAATACATTTGGTGAAGTTTCATTTTCTTTATCTCTGAGTAACTGCTCTGGGAATAGCTACATAGATTCCAGACACCATCTTTGCTATTTAGGTGTATATGATATACCTATTTCAATAAATGTTGTCATTGTTAAAGGCGATAGGCGATAGGTCATTTCAACATGGAAATGGTTTCGTTGCATACAAAGAACATAGAATCAGTCCTAACACTAAGGTCCATTTTTTTGACGAGAATAAGAAGCAGAAACACAAGTCATTCCAGCTATTCTTGGATCTTGGAATGACCTATCTCCTATTGCTTTTYGCCTATTGCCTATTGCCTATCGCCTATCGCGATGAAAATGTTTTGTTGAAATAGGTGTATAAAGTGGGCATGTTGAAACTTTAGGATTTTGTTTGTTTATAGTATGTGCATGCCCACCATGCAGGTCGTCGAGGGTGGACCAAGTCAAGGTGACGGTCAGCAGGTGAGATAATTATTAGTTATTCATTATATCAATCAATAAAACCATACAAGCACCGGTGGTAATATTATCATTTTTTTTATTCCATCCAAACAAATGATTAATCTGGTTAGATTTTGTATAGACTTTTTTAAAATTTCTCTTAACCACCAGCTGAATGGTGAATTTTGTTTCAGCCAATCACAGCGAGTTTAGCTGCTTTGCGGCCAGCCTTTATTCCCAGGCTACTGTTACCCAATTTTTGCGTATTTTCTGTTTTCTTTTAACTAAAATGTGTAGTTCCAGAAATCATCCATACCCATTCCACAGAGGAATTTGGAATTTCCAAAGAGTAGGGGGGTCAGAGAAAGAACAAAAATGACAGAGTTTGTATGGAAGAAAATTGGAATTTCTGGGGGGTAGGGGGGTGTCTTAAAAAAATTCCTCCGTGAAGGGGGTATGGATATTTTTTGGAACTACACAATATGATACACATGCCTACAAGAAGCAGAAATATTGAAAGGAAGAATAAAAACAATTTCACTTTACCACCATGTTTGCTTCATTCTTTCAAGCTTCACTGCTCAGCTGGCAATAAAAACTCAAAAAACAATTGGAATGAAATCCCAGCCAATCAGTGTGCAGCTTACGCTTGTCTGCCTTGTTTATGTTTTCTGGATTCAAAATTGGGGCTGGAGGAAGAGGTAAAAATAATTTTGCATGGCTTTGGAAACAAGAAGCTTTTACTTGATTCCCAGAAGTATCTAAATAAAATTTAACTCATATGCAAAAATAAAGAAATGCAACAGAAATACAGAACAAAGGATGTCAATATGGGTGAAGTGTTGTTTAACTACATGCAGAAACTGTAAAACCTTGGAAGACATTATATCTTAACCACACTCAATAGACCTTGGTAAAACAACAGTCTCAAAATTGCCAAATTTCAAAAAGAATTAAATCTTTATTTTTTTACAAAATTCCAGCATAAGATAACTAGTTATGAATATTAAAATAAACATCATAGAATAAAAGCGGCAAATTCAGCGTAAAAAGCACCTTTCGATCCGCACGATCCAGTTAAACGACGTCCAGTCCAGTCCATCTATGCTCGGTTCCTGATTTTCCAAAATGAAAAAATCTATCAAAACTCAGAATCTAGAAGGATAAATCAAATTCTAGAGATTAGACATGTTTTTGCCATGTATCAAGAGTATCCTTAGCTTTTCAATACTTAAAAAAATATGAATTTTTTTTTTTTTTTTTACAATTCAAGATCGAGTCACACTTAGTCCAATCCAGTCCCTCTGTGTACACGATTCAGAGTTTTCCAACATAAAATGCAGAATATTAAGAAACAAAAATCAAGCTCTAGAGTTTTAGCTTCATTTTATTATAAGCAATATCGGATTATATTTCCTTCGACCGAATAGAACACTCTGGAAAATAGGCCTTGGTGGTCTCACTAAACTGCTTGGCAAATAGTCAGATAAGAAGCGAGAGTCTTGCCCATCAAACAAGTTAGGAATGGAAACTGAAAAATGGGATAGAAAGAGAAGGAAAAGAAAAGAAAGGAAAGGTAAGGTAAGGTAAGGTAAGGTAAGGAAAGGAAAGGAAAGGAAAGGGAGTAGGGAAGGGTAGAGTCAGGAGAGAAAGAATCGAAGGGAAAGGCCGCGAGAGGAAATACGAGGTTGGTGACTTATATCAAGCTTTGCGGTAGATGCTGAATCACGCTGCATGCTGGAGTCCGACTTGATGGAATGCTATTCATGGCGGTTAGAGCATTATTACACCTATCTCAATAATTGTATACGACCAACACAGCCCAAGATTGCTGGGATTTTGACTGCGGTCTCTATCAAAATATTACTAACTCTTAGCGATGGAAAATTTGACTTCTCAAAATACTGTTTTTAGATGATGGTGTCATAATTAACAAATGTATGGCATCTATCTTTTTTATTGTATGATATTTTTGCTGGAACAAAACCCGGAAAAATTGTAGTTATTTATAGGTATCATTGAATATGGACCATCTTTCTATAGGTGGTCTTAACGTCGTGACCGGTCGGTGGCTTTTGCTAGATCATTTTCGTATATTTTTCCGTTTAGACTTGAGGAAGCTGACTGGTTTTTAGGGTATGATTTCCGACTCGTCGTGTTTGGCGGGTATCATAAAGGTTCTGTGTATACAGCGGGTTCGGTATAAACAGATTCTTAAACTCTTTCGACTCCTGGAGGAAATTTGAAGTATAAGCCTTATAATTTACATGTTATTCCCGCTGAAGAAGGACGAGCACGAATAAAAAAAGACACTTCCCTAAAAATATGCCAAAAAACTTTTAGTAAATTGGAAAAAACCTTACAAGTTGTCGATTACTTTTGAAAGACTCAGTTGAAAGACTTACGTAAGTACGATGAAATGAATTTTCAATCTTTGAAAAACCCACAAAAGTTGACCAAATAGTACTCATATTCAAAATGGAAAGCATGAGGGGAAAAGCTTTCGAATTGTGCTTTAAAATTTCTAAATTTTTTTACAGTTTCTAACTATACTATGAGAGTGGTTCGAAAGAATGAGAGATCAAACAGCTTGTTCTTTTGTTCTCTTTTTTTCTCGGTAAAACTTATTAATATTTCAAAGATATTTGGTTATCAGCCAATATTGTTTTTGAATTTATAATACATGTTTTCAAACCTATTTTAGATTTGCATTATCGCTTTAAAGAAGAGTAGGCAAAGAATGCTGATGATATTTGTGTCAAAATTGTCGTAGAAATATTGACATTTTGTAATGAGTCTTTTCGAGGAAGTATATTCAAATTAAACCGTAAATACTTAGTTTTACTCTTTTATTCTCAGTTCTTTTTAGTGTAAATTAGTCTACATTGTCTACAGCAAGAGCCATTTCGCCATAAATTTTTTATTACGTTCACAAGAGATAAGTATTTTTGTGATTACTTCCTTTGGAATTCATTTTAGAGCTTCGAGTTAAGAGGAGTTGGAAGCAAAACTTTGTCTTACGATTCTCAGAATTATCGAAAGAGCTCTTGTTTATGCCCTGAAGAATTCCTTGACATAGAAAACGAGGTTTCATCGAAAACTTTTTGGATTCTTTGGCGTTTTTAGCTATCATAGGACAAAACTGAATTTGTTTTCATATTCAACAGCAGATGCAAGGTAAAAATTATAACAAAAGCATGTAGAACTAAGTAATTTATAATCTTGTTTTTACCAAGAAAAAAGCCAAATGCAAAGTATATGATTTTTCAGGAAAACATGGTACATGTCAAATTCTCTACATTTTTGGTGATTTTTTTAGTTTTTCAGTTCTTAAATTTTCATCATTTTTCTGCTCATTCATAAAATATAAGTTCTTAACGGAATGGAGTAAGAATTTGTTAATGATTCATAATCTTAACCATGTTATTTTCCGATTTCTATTTCAATCTACGGGGAGAAAATTGATCGTTGATCCTAATCTCTTCATTTTACTTTGCTAGATTCATCCATTTTTTCGTTTACTTGTCTTTTCTTTCTTTCTTTGCTTTCTTTCTTAGCTTTCTTTCTTTGCTATTTTTTCTTTCTTCCTTCCTTTCTTTCTTTCTTTCTTTCTTTCAAAAATATTTTAAAATCACTTGAAAAACGATAGACAAGAATTTTTATATATGTATCGGTCTGTTCGGTGCCCACCAAGAGAGAAAATATTTTTGTGAAACATCTTGGAGTAGATTAATAAAATCAAGAGAATATTAACTAAGCTTACTTAATTTTTTAATGGTAAAATGTTGCATCGATTAAAAGTCAAATGATCAATTTAAAAAATGCAAAGACCACGGTTTTCCCATACCAAGCATATGAAACAGTGTTCTATCGTTTTGTTCTTTCGTTAGTTGATTTTGTTTGTTCCTTCTTTCGTATGTTCAGTGGTTGATCCAGGGGGGGTTCGAAGGGTTCCACGGAACCCCCCTTGAAGGCTTGATCTTGTCGGTAATAGAAATATGTCTTATATAAATTTTGCTTAAAAGTATCCACAAGGATAATGTTGAACACGAAATGATAAATATTTGCTGTTATAATGTTTAATTTACCTTTAAGTTCCGTTACTAGATAGTAAATTAGGTAATTAGAGCCAATTTTTTTGTCAGACATCGACTAAACAAAAGAGAATTATACACAGTTTAAGAAACGGAACCCCCCTTTGAAAAATCCTGGATTCGCCACTGATGTTTATTTGTTTGTAGTTTCGTTTTTATTTGATTGTTGGTTCGTTTGTTTTAAATGATTTTCCCAAGTTAAAAGTTTTTGTTCACGATTCATGTCAGTCATCCTTGACCTATTCCCTTCACGATATTATCACCTAAGCTTTGCATGTGTCCTATTTTAATCACTTATTAAGATATTCATAAATTCCACTAGTCCCAAGATCAGCCGTCTGTGTTTGATTATACCCTCAAATTAAATTAACCTCTGGTCGTGTAAACCCCTGGACTCTTTCTACGAACCATTCATATAACATTCTGTACCTTGTGTGCGACTATCTTCTAAAAGAGTCAAACTTGTGCAAAGAAAAGTGGTACTTTCAACGCCATGAAGAAGATAAGACGACTGTCTCAGAGGTTCTTTTGCATAAGGTAAACAATCGAAAACACAACATTTAGACTCAAAATTAAGTCTCATTCGGTTTCCTTACTTTGAGTTTATTACCAAGCTATCTGTGTTTTATAGTTATAAGTAGAAACCTGTGCAAATTACAGGTCTAAACTCGTGTTATTCTTGAGTTTATAATTTGAGTTGTGTACTTAGTGTGTTATCTTAGTTCTAAACATAATTTACAGTCGAGGATTAGGAAAGAGATATTCCTTTGGAAGCTTAACATGACCTTAGTTAGAATTGATAATAATTTGATGGAATAAAATTTCAACCAGAGAGGTTGCTAGAACCTTCACTACCTTGTACATGTGGCTTCAAGCAAAGGAATGTCACGACTTCAAGCATTTCAATTCTTTGTTAAGTAATGTTAACATACTTAAAAGTAATTATAGAGCTGTCTAAAACGACGAAAACAGCCTTGGCTTAGACTATATCGAATTTCGTTTCAAGCTAATACGAGAAGCAGCTATCTTGCTGTTAAAACTTTGTAAAGAATGAAGTTAGTTTATTTTTGTGTATGAAAAATAAATTTTCGATCAATTATGTATACATTTGTGTAATCAAAACACTTATAACTACAATAATTATAACTACAATAAAGATAGATAATTCGACTAATTCTGTTGCTATGGATGAAATTTCAATATAATAATGATTTAATGTTGTTAAGCTTGTCCGCTTGTCCAAAATTTAGACAGCGTGACTCAATTAGATTAAAATCAAAATAACACAAAATTGCTTCCTGCAATAAATTTGATACCCAGTAATAAAATATAGATTAGAAGAGCGTCCAGAGGTGGGTCAAGCTTCTAGAAAAGCCATTTATTCGACTTTCAAAGGAAAAATCTAGTAAAAACGGCTTGTGTTATTAGAAAGGTGATCTTAGGCAATTCACTTTAATATTATATTCTTTTCCATATTTCTTTTTTTCGTATGTTACTTTTTCCTTGAATTTGCATCTGCTAGATAGTGTGATAGAACTATATTTTTGAGCTATTTATTGAAAATTTCAACAGATTCCCTCTAGGGTATTTGCTTGAGGGCTGCTTTCAGAGGGTCATCACATTCCATGGCCAGCCATCCTCCGTCTTAAATAAAAGCATTGATTGACGATTATGAACGATGGCCAATAATGGGGATGTTGATAATGGTAATAATGATGTTGATAATAATGATGATGACGACGACGTTAATAATGATGTTGATGTTAATGATGATGATGATGATGGTGATGCCTATAATGATGATAATGATGATGATAATGGTGGTGATGACGATGTTGATGATGATGATGATGATGATGATGATTAGATGATTGAGAGACGAGTAAAGCCCCGTTTACACTGGCGACTTTTGCTGCGATTTTTGCTGCGATTTTTGTGGCAATTTTCGGAAATATAAAATCTTTTGTCTCATCCTTCAAAAGAGACATTCGTCTAGGAAAATCTTGGTATCCTGAAAAAAACTTTACAAGTAAATTCTTTACCATTATTTATTATGGACAAAATCGCAAAAACAAAATCGCAGCAAAAATCGCCGCAAACATCGCTAGTGTAAACGGGGCTTAAAAGATTGATGATGATAGAGATGAATGTGATGATAGTGATGCTGCTGTGCTGCTGATGATAACTGAACGTTGCTATTATCATCATCATTTGCAGTCAACTAAACTAAAAGCGTATTTTAGCCTTGGCTTTTTGATCGAACCCAGGAGCATTTAAAGCTAAGAAATCCCTTTTCGTTGCTCAAGTTGATCTCTGCCGCAACCTCTAGACATTACATAGCCAGAGGCGCCGCTAAACTCGTTCTTGTTCTTATCCAGTTTAGTGATTAGCTAGTTTAACCATTCTTCATGTTAAGTCGTTCTCAATTCCCTTCCGTACAACTAATCCTTTCTTGCACCTGGAATCCATAAATCATAAAGTCGTTTATTCACCCCATAATTACCATTTTAATATTATTGCAGGCCTGGAAGTCGCCAGGGAATGGACGAGAATGGTCACACCAACAACAAAACAAAAAACGGTAAAGTGCGTGTCAATAACTATGTCAGCCCTCGAAGCAATGGCGACCTAAATCATGAAAACAAAGCAAAGCGAGCTTCAAAGTCACAACCAACTCCTCTAATACGAACAGAAACACAAGGTGATTCTAATACCAAGGACATTAACGCCAAGGGAAACTCTACGGCGTCGGGATCCGGAATGCTTGGAGCAGGCCTCGAAGCGAGTTTCGCGTCCTTACGAAGGAGTTCGGCGACGCCTGATTTATTGAACAAAAACACAGGCGTAGAAGCTGGTGACAATGTAAGAAGTAAGCCAAACAGCCCAGATTCACGGTCAACGGTCTCAAGCTCGTCGCCACGACTGAAGAGACCCCCTACGGTTGAGTCGACGAGTGTGTCTATACAAGAATCTGAGGTATAAAGTCATTACGTTGCAAGAGGGTGTTGACGCGTTGTTGTTACTGAGTTTGATGCGCGCTGCAATTCCTCTTCCTTTAGCAATCAAAAAAAAAAAAAAAAGATAAGAGATAAGAGGTTTTTATTAACACTTTTATCCCACTTTAGTGACATACAAATGGCTTCAGCTCTTATTACCAATCAAATCTCTAAAAAAGGGGCACTAACCAATCACAATGCTTCAATTTTGTAAGCCATTTCAGTGTCAACCTTCCGACTTTTTCTAATCCTGCGAAAAAATTAATTTTCGTTTCTTTTCAGAATTTTACGCAATTGAATCAATACAAACTAATGGATGAAATAGGAAAGGTGAGATTTTATAGAATCTAAAGATTAAAACAACTTTTTATTTGCTGGCAGAGTAATCGTGAAATTTGCGCTAATTTTAAATTGTGCCTTTTTATGACTTTTTTAGGGATCTTATGGTGTTGTAAGACTCTGTTACTCGGACTTTGATCAATCTAATTATGTAAGTTAACAAGCAAAACATTATGTCATGACAACGTGTTTACAGGAAAACTTGTGAGAGTGAGACAAAATAAGAGTCGGTGAGTGTGACGTAACGATGAGTCCTGGCGCTTTTATTGGCTGCGCAACCAGTGCACGACGTGGTTGGTTCAGCGTGACGACGACGTGTCCTAGCACTTTTATTGGCTGAGAAACAAGCGCGCAATGTGGTTGGTTTAGCGTGACGATGACGTGTCCTAGCACTTTTATTGGCTGAGAAACAAACGCGCAATGTGGTTGGTTAGCGTACGGATGTCTTCAAACCGATCTGAAACGTTGACGGTATGCTCTGTGGAGTGACATACAAACACTCCTAGAAACAGTGTTTGTGACGAACAGGAAAGGCTCCTGCAAACAAGCTTATTCAGTCTTATGTGTTACTCACTGTAGTCAATGGAACCATTCTGGTAATAGCGTTTCCGAACATGAATGGCTCCGGCAAACGAGCTTATCTCCCCTATCAAATTCGCCACTCATTATGATCATTATTCGCTCGCGGTAAAGCCAAGAGAAATCCTCATCTGTTTATTTGATGTTTGTTTGTTTAGGCCATGAAGATTATTTCTAAGAAAAGAATTATACGAAAAGCAGGACTACGTAAGTACAATTGAAAAAAGTATAGGTCGTCCATCTGCCTCGCCGTTTCATCTATCTGTATCAATGTTTGTCGTCTTTGTATCTGCCTGTCTCCATTTGTCGTATCTGTTTGTGTGTCAGCTAGTCATTTTGTGTGTTCTATTACGTCTCTGTTTTGTCCATCCGTTTCTGGTCTGTTGACTATTCCATTCGTGTCTGTCTGTCTGTCTGTCTGTCTGTCTGACTGACTGACTGTCTGTCTGTCTGTCTGTTTGTCTGTCTGTCTCAAACTTGATTTTTTCCCTCCATGTTAGGTAAACCTGGTGACCGAGGCAAAAATCCAGGGCTTGAAAACCTTCAAAGAGAGATAGCCATACTAAAGAAAGTTGACCATCCAAACGTCGTACGACTTTACGAGGTACTTACAGGATAAATGAAACATAAATATAGAAGACTAGAATGTAAAGAACATTCAAGTATCTGTATGTGGGTAGACTTATAATATAAAGGATGCTAGCAAAAAGTGCATGTGCGGGCTAGAACCCCTTGGGAGTGGGTACCGGGTAACATCAACTTTTCTCTTTAATAGTCCCCTTCACAGTTCCCTGCGCCATCTTGAAAGGTAGCCGTGCCTTTGCATCGTAGCGAGACGAACGGTGAGCTTGCAATGATAGATACATGTGAATAATTGTCCAAGGTGTTAAAAAAGGTCTCTATCATTGCAAGCTCACCGTTCGTCTCGCTACGATGCAAAGGCACGGCTACCTTTCAAGATGGCGCAGGGAACTGTGAAGGGGACTATTCGATCCGGTAAGATGACATTTGTTATGATTTAGTTGAATCATCTTTATTTTACCACGGTAATAACATCAACGTTAATGACATTGCTTTTCATGAAAGCCATGAAATAAAAACAATACTATAAAAATGTACATCCATCAATTTATGAAAAGGTTAATAATAGTAATATTTCAAATAGTTTTCTACATAACGCTTAATACTGTTTGTAATAGATGAATACATGTTAAAATGACGTTCCTAACACGAGTAAATGTGTTTGTATGCTTTGTCTAAAGGTTTTAGATGATCCCGCGGAAGACAACCTTTATTTAGGTGAGCAAATGTATTAGTTGTATTGGTTCAATAATCATTATTCATATCTCTATGGGACCGCGTGGGGACTGGTGAATAAACATGAGAGTGAGGCCATTAGTCCTATAAATACGAGAAACAAAGAGATGAGTTAGGGGACAAAATAAAGAACACAGACATTTGAAACAAGGGTACTCGTAGCACTTTGAGGAAAGGGCAACAAGCCTTGTTCTTGTGTTTATCAGCACCAGTTTCTCACCTGCGAAATAAAAAATGGTGACATAGAAGCTTTGCATCATCACGTGATGGCAGCCGTGACAGGAGGCACAACAATAGAGCATTTTCCTCTAGGAAACTGAATTCTTTCTCATGTAAATCACATTAGACAAGATTCAGTTGTTCCTGCCTACTGTCATGGCTGCCATCACGTGATGGGGCAAAGCTTCTATATCCTCGGGAGTCTAATCCAGTAACCAAAAGTACTGTTGTTTCTCTTTTCAGTCTTCGAATTGGTGGACAAAGGGTGAGTTACTTGAATCTTCTTTCTTCGATACTACATCAATATTCACGGGATCAATATTCAATTCCGTTTGTATTCTATTTACTAGGGAAGTAATGGAGGTCCCAGGCCCCAAGTTGTCTCAAGAGGTTGCGAGGAATCATTTTAGGGACCTGTTACTGGGAATAGAATACCGTGAGTATTGTGACATACAATGTGCTTGCCTCAGTGCTTCTCATGCTTCTAACCACACGACTCCCAACGGGGATGCTCAAATTCATAAATGTTCAGTGTGTGCAATTGGATGTTATGTTCGTATGGACATTGCCATTGTGATGCTAACATCCTTGATAATGTTTATTTGTTTGTTTATACCCATGAGAACAAAAACCTTTGTTCCATCCGTGTAGCCTATCTATCTATTGATCCAGTTAAGATGGCTGTCGCTTGAGAAAGTGCCATAGGTTTTGTCACTTTGCTTTGTTTGATTTTCCGATAGATTTTACTGGTTGGCAATTTACAGACCGTTCTATACAATACTATTTACAGGACAGTCAACCCAAACAAATTATTTTATCGTACGTTCACCTATTAATCGCATTATTAGGTCACATTTCTCCATTCTCGCACCAAATGATTTATTATTTTCCTTTTTTTCTTCGTAGTTCACTATCATAAAATCGTTCACCGAGACATCAAGCCGTCAAATCTTCTTCTGGGTGACAACGGGAGAATAAAAGTATATTTTGCTCGTACCGTTTGTTTGTTTGTTTGTTTATTGCTGCTACTTTATGAAACAAAATGAACGTTGTCATTTTTAGATAGCGGACTTTGGGGTGTCGGATGTGTTTGAAGGTGACGATGCTTTCCTGTCGAAGACCGCTGGCTCCCCTGCTTTCATGGCGCCTGAATCGCTTCAAAGTAAGTCCTGGATGTTAGTTATCATTGCTCGTTATTATTTATATACCGGTGCACAGTCCAAACTCCAAGCATGCAACCAAGGCTGTATGGTACAACTGTGAGGCTTCTGTTAGATCAGAGAACAAGTGTGTGTAAAGTGGTTAATTTAAAGAAATTCCAGAAAGTTGCATTAAAAAGCTTGCATCTGTTTGTCTATCTATTCATCTGTCTTTCTTTCCGTTGGTCTGTCTGTCTGTCAATCCTATTCTGCATGCCTGTTTATTTATCTGTCTGTCTGTCTGTGTTTGTCTGTATGTGTCTGTGTGTCTCTGACCATCATTTTTTCTGCCTATCACTTTCATAACTATTTCATAATCGTCCAATATTCCATATTTTTTCCAGCATCTCGCGATAAGTATTCTGGGAAGGCAGTGGACGTGTGGGCCATGGGCATCACTCTATTTTGCTTTGTATATGGCAAGGTAAGAAAACGCGCTTGCTTTGGCACTGTTTCAGGGCAGCGACATGCTGTAGGGCTAATGTCTTACTTATTTTGCCACCTTGTAACTTGTGTTCACGTATCATTCAATAAATAAAGGCTTAGTGCACTAATCTAAAGTTTATTTGGTTCACTTAGTGTCCGTTTGAAGATGGCAACAGAATGGCATTATACGAAAAGATACGAATACAGCAGTAAGGATGCCATTTTGTTTTCTATCCAAGCAGTTTTTCATATTATAACAATTTGTATAATAAACTTATAGCTCTGCTTTTCCCATGCAAGTCGTTTTTTCATGTGAACGACGTCACACTTAATATCGAAAGCACTAAATATCAAAACCAACATGGCGGCTATCAATCAATCAATATTTTATTCAGTACTTATTAATATAAAACAATATTTAAATATTTACATTTGTGAGAAATATGGCATACATAAAGTACAAGCTACCTATGATAACTTAAAAGCTAGACTAGATAGGTAGCTACTTAGTACATAGATTTGAATTGTAATAGCAATTAGGTAGATGATACATTATCACGTGATGCTTAAGCTTAATTGGATTATATTTTATTTGAAGGGAAAAAACTTTTAACATGCTTAATACTATAATTTTCGTTGTTCTTTCAGGTTAGAATTCCCCGAAGAGTAAGTAGTTTGGGTTGTTTTTTCATTCGTAAAAAAGTAACATGAAAGCAAATATGTGTTTTCACTGATGGTACTTTCATTGATTCTGTTATCTTAGACCTGTTATAAATCCAAAACTAGAAGATCTGCTATTGCGACTGCTGATTAAGGACCCAAAAGAGAGAATAACAGTACCTGAAATCAAAGTAAGTTTTAAATTTTGAAGTTGTAATTTATGTTTTTTCAAGCTAATTTTTCTCGGGAAAAATTCCACCTTTTTCGGAGCTCCTCGGTAATCTTTCCTCCCCATTTAAGGCTCTAGAAACACCCTATTGATGGTTTTCAACCATCCCCAAGAGAATTGAATAACGAAAAACACGGCGGCCATGTTGGAGGATATAACAAAAGAATTCATTGACAATTGTTTTGTTAAGTGACAATTCTTTTGTTAACTTCCTCCAACATGTCCGCCGTGAAAACCATCAATAGTGTACACTTCTCCTCAATGACGCAGTTGTTCAGGAACGACTTGTTTATCATGGATATGCAGCCAGCGTCCAGCAGCAATCACTGTAAAGATACATGCATGTACCATCATGCATTGCGCTCACGTGATGCTCACGTGCCGCCAAGATAATTTCTGTCTAACTTCTATAACATTTGTATAACAGAAAGTATCATTTCTAGGCCGATGCTGATTGCTCCAAATACACGCGCATGCGCCAACATCAAGTAATTGGTTGCTAAAAGCTGCTTTGTGATTGTAAAATTCTGTTCAATGCTCAGAACATTTTAGGTTTATAAAACACTTCCCGAAGGCTCTGTTGAATATAATTTCAATATGGCGGAATAGTTAATACCCTCAACGAAGAGTATTAGGCACTAATGACGTTTAATTGACAGATACATCCCTGGGTAACGAGAGGAGGACGAGACCATTTACCTTCCACAGCGGAAAACTGTTCAGTTATCGAAATCACTGATGAAGATATAAGAAACAGCGTGCGAACGATACCCAAAATTAAAACCCTGGTAAGTAATTAATTCAGTTTGGGCTTCCTGTCTTATGCTACTGGTACGCAACATCATAGCCGCCATTTGAAAAGACCATTTCAAATTAGTACAATACTGCCGTATTCCGTGATAATATGATAACAGACTCAGGGTTACCCTCATTTCAGCGTCAAATATTTACAAACACCAATTTTAAAGTAAAGAAAGAATGCATAACTTCAACATCATAGAGCGTTTTCACGTGTGACGTCAGAGCGGCCATGTTGGTATTCCAAAACGATGCATTTTCTATCCTCGGGGAATTGGATTCTATTTTTATGCAAAATCTGTCTAGAAAGTTTCTAATGTTTGGTACACCAATATGGCCGCCTTGTCACGTGAGTGAAAACGCTCTATAAAAACTTGGAATTTCGCGGACCTGAACTGGAACACGTGAAAATTTTACTCAAAAATTAGGCTAACCCTGAGGAACAGAGAACTCGAAAACTGGATATAGGCGCTTTTTGAAAAAAAAAAAAAAATTAAAGAAATTTCAATTTTTTCAAAATTTTCTAGATATGATTTTATATCGAATCTATTTTTCATTTCCTTCACAGATTTTAGTAAAAAGTATGATAAAATACAAAACGTTTGGTAGTCTTACAAAACTGGAGAGACTACGGTCGCATTCACAACCAAATATCGCCGCCATATTGGAACAGAAACAAATACTCGAAGAAAAAGAGACATGAAGGATATGCCTGCTCTAAGACGCCTCGAGCCGAGATGTACCCATTCCTTCACGTAACAAATGTAGCGTCATGTAATAAATGCAGAAATGTAACGTCATTTCCACAGAACTGGAATAATGAATAGGATGGAATTGTTTTTAACCAGAATGCGAGGATATTTTTTTAACAGTTTTTAATTTAGTAGTACTTAGTACAGAGTTGTCTTTATTTTTTAGAAAAATATGACAACCCAAAATACAATTTTTTAGAATTTTTTTATTCCAGGGAGCAATAGTGTACATAAAAGTCTTAGCTCAGACGTCAAGTTCTCCTTTATCTTTCTTTTTCCTTTCCAAATTCTCTCCCTGTCTCTAAGTTTCTCTCTAAAATACCAATCAGTACAAAGTATGCGTTTTAAAATAATGAATTATAAAACACATTTAAGACTAGAATCTTTCGGACCTCGGCTCATTAACAGATCCTGGCAAAAATTAAGGTTTCTGAATTTTTAGTCGCAAAATACAATAGCCTGAGCTCCTCTTGGTCAGCAGTGATGTCTCTATCGCTGACCAGCAGAAGCGCAGACTCTAAGAACGAGATTCCATGTTTACGAACTTAGCGGACATGCGCGCATGTCTCCAATTCATCAATGCTGACCAGGAGCACCGCTGGCTCTAGGAACAAAAACTACGACGTTGACGAAAGAGCAGGAGAAATCTTTAGTAGCTCATCAATATCGAAATATTTGAACTCGAGAATCTGCAGATTGGCTAAAATACTGTTTCTTAATAACCAATCAGATTTGCCATCTTATCTGATTGGCTATCGGAATTGGAATCTAGTCATCTAGAAATCCACTGCTTTTCTATTACAAAATCTTTGTRATGCAGAGATTTTTACAACTCGAAAGCTTTTATTTTTGTATCAATTATTTTTAATTTTTCTGCCGCACATTTCAGTCGCAGTCGATGATATAATCACTCCACAGGTACCCCAAACATACCTTTTAGGCTCAATCAATGTTTCGGTTTATATTGACGTACTTTTTTTCGAAAATTCAAATTCAAATATGAAATCAGCCGAAATATTTATTTAGGACAAAGAGGGCTGGCTTGGGCTTCCTGTGGTCATTCCTGGGTTTACATAAATTCTTAGATTTTTTAACTTACGTATGAATAATACTAGAAAATTAATGATTATAGTAAAATAGAATTTCAGCATATCTAATATAATTATTACGCACAATATCACGAAAATATTTGTACAATATTCTAGAATTATAATTATGTATTATACTCGACGTGTATAAGAAATAATGTATACAAAAGCAGAATACGACCAATGAAATGGCGTGGTTTGTTTGGGTTTTTGTATGGATTTTAGTTGGCCAATCGCGGAAAATCAAATAGAAGATACTTTCCCTAGCTTAGAAAGATCTTTCCAAACCAAAATCCTGAGGGAAAAACTTTCTACGCTTCGAAATTGACCATTGTAAAACTCGTGTTTTCAAACTTTGTCAAAAAGTTTCATTTCTCAATTCATTTCACTCTTTCAAACAGTTCGCAAAAAATATATATAGTCCGACCACTCGTATAATTTGAGGGTTTTTCCATGGTAAATCGTCGAAATTTTGAGAGCTAGCGCGCACGCCCTTGGGCTAAATTACTCAACAGTAAGGCTTAGACTGAGTTTTAGGAGTTACCAAATCGTGATGCGCACTTCAAATTCCCATTACCTTTCAATGATAAGTTGGGGGGAGACTGTAGTGTTTTTACACTTAATTTATTTCTATTGATTGGTATAGAAACTAGAGTGCTGAACCGTCGTATGGCAGCGCGAAACATTTACGGCTACGCCGGAGATTTCGGCCCCGACACCGCTATCCAAAGATTTACTATGCGAGGGAGACTAAAGATTTACAGACTGATCAGGAAGCTCGGCCGAGGCTTAAGGGAGAGAGCCGGCCCCTAGACCGAAAATGATTAACCCCTTGCTATGACCAACAAAACTCGAAAAATTGAATGTGACGCTGATGGCTTTGAACGCATACTCACTCCTTTCCATGTGGGACGCATTTTGAAACAAAACTTGAATCGAAAAACGAATCTTGAGCTTGAACGAGCACCTTTGCAAAGTTCCAACCACCTCTATCGTAAGCGACCTTACTCGGATGCGTGATGTCTGTATGCGTGACTTACGTGACGTGTTATAGGAAAAACACCGGTTTGTGTCCAGATTTACTCGCGTAGGAAACACGTTAATCTGTATTAACCAATATGTTATCCTAACAGTTGAAAGGACAAAGCTTACTCTTACAAATGAATTGTCCTTTGATGGTAGATTTACCACAGTGGGTGAAAAAATACATTTCATTATGTCGGCCACAGAACTACTGAGAGGCGCGGACAAAAACCTTGTCCCAAAATTGTCTTTCTTTGCACTATCAAATATTAATCTAGCACCGGAATATTTATCAGTGACAGCATGCAACCGGTTTAGACTGGACTGGTACAAGAATAGAATAGCATTGTCTGAAGGGCGGTAATTATAAAAGGGAGTTAAGGGGCGTAAGTCAAGGTGAAGATAATAGAGAGTTTTAGATTGACTTTTTTTTCTCCCCGCAAACGGCAAACGTGACCATGTTTTCATAGTTTTCCTTTATTTTACTTTACCTTTTACAAACCTTCTCAMCAAGCGCAAATACTCTTTTGTTTTTCTAMTACTTGGACTTTTTTGCGATTCTTTTTCAGTAATTTAAAAGAATTTTTTACTGGTCAACTGACGTTTCACGTTTACCGTGAACGTCAATCTAAAACTCTCTAATGAAATCTTGGATACTTCTGATATTTTCTGATCTTGTCTGGGACCATTTCTGTAACCTTTTATCCGAACCTCTTTATTCGAATCCTTTTAGAACTTTAAAGAAATTAAAATTTAGATTATGTTTTGTTATACTATCTTATTCCATTCCATTCCATTCCATTCCATTCCATTCCATCCGTTCCGTTCCATTCCGTTCCTTCGTTCCATTCCATCCATCCCATTCTATTTCTTTCTATCAGTATTTTATTCTATTTCCTTTTATTCCAATCTATTCCATCCAATTTTATTGCATTCCATTCCATTCTATTTCTTTCTATTCTTTGTTATCTTAATTCATCTAATTCTATTCCATTCTATTCGTATTCTATTCCTTTTCGGAGTGATTCTATTGTATTCCATCCCATCTCCTCTCACATTATTCTATTCTAAAAGCTACGTAATTCATCCAATCATAAATACCAAAATACCTACTAAGAATATTCCATCCATTCTCATTACGCCATTCCTATTCATTCCGACTTACCAAAAGAAATCTTTACGTGACGTTTCCTTGTCGTGGGTTCCCTGTGTAGGGATTCCGGTTCTAAACCTGTTTGTTATTATATAATATAATGAGCAAACCTGGAAATGCGTCATAAGACGGGTCCAACACTAGAAAACGATATTACGTCTAACGCGAAAGAGCATAGTTTTAAATAGGTTTAGACCGAATATTACTCCATAAAACAACTCAAAAAAGGCCAAGCCATGTCTCCTCCACCTAAAAATCAGGTGAGTAGCTAGATATTTAACTTTGAGTTTAGACTAAATTTTCGTGTCGTTCTCGTCTGTGAAGGTTGAAAAGAATGTCAGTCATATTTTGTTCCCATTGCTTGATTGAACTATAATTTCCTTATATATTTTACTTTCAATTTTAATTAATATAAACTTACTATTTACTTAAACACTCATTTTAGCCTTTCTTGACGATTTAGAATCGAAAAAAGAGCTAAAAATTGAAGCCATGACGCTATTACTGGTATAACATTTCCAGTTCAGTCTACGTTTCGTCTACGTTTTGAGTCTTAGCTAAATTTTACCGAGTTTTTATCGTTCCAGACTTTAAGGTTTAATAACAAACCTGGCAAAAAACCCAATAAGTTTATTACCACGAAGTTTAAACTCACAAAATTAAGATTGTGAATAACTTGTTTATTAAATTTATGAAATATTCGACTTTTTATCCAATCCAGAAAAACAGGTTTTAGATTATGCCCCGGCATTACGTGACATTCTTAACTCCTTCTTCTTTTCATGGGAATCTACATATGATTTTTGTCATACTACATATTGTGCATATATTTTGTATGTTAGGAAGTTTTTTTTTGCTCATTTGCCAAGCCATCTTCAATAGCTTGGATGTAATAGACGTTGATCCTAATATTATGTTTCACACCTAAACTACCACAATCCTTTTTAAAATATCCATTCATTTGAGAATACCAAGACCCCGACGTACGTAAGTCAATCCTTAAAAACCTACATTGATAAAAATCGATAAAAAATCATGTGATTTTTATTGATCTTTAATGGGAATCTGTAAAAATCAATCCAGAAATCAAAAAAATTAGTGTGAGACAGTGAAAATTTGCATAACAAACAAACCTACCAAAAGGGTTCTGCAAGTGTAGTTAGGTATAGAACATCATCATGCTCAAGAGGTCTTTTGGTAGGTTTTCCTATCACAGACCATGTGTCATCCCCTTGAGAATAAGATTGTTTGTTTGAGTTGTATCATACAAGAAATTGGAGCATTCAGCATTACTAGGATGAGTGTACGTAACATATATTGGTCTTTTTGAATTCAGATAGAACTGATTGATCCATCACAAATCTATCGTCCCGAAGAAGCATTTGACGAATACAATAGAGAAAAGACCAAGCTTATAAGTAGAACAAATAAAGATCAAGAGGACTTTAGAAATTATGAAGAAAACTTGAATACAGATGCTGTTAGAAAAACCTATACTCTAATGCATACGTATCAAACTATGGACTTTGTTAAGGACAAGGTATGTAAAGAAGAATGTACTTCTCTATCCATCTGCTAACCATGATATTCAACCTGGCATCCACCCATCCACCCACCTAGTTACCATCTACGTAAGGGAAGCACGGGTGGCATAGCAGTGAGAGCGCTCACCTCCCACCAATGCGACCCGGGTTCGAGTCCTGCTGAGCTTGGTGTCGTATGTGAGTAGAGTTGTTTGTTGGTTCTCTCCTGTGCTTCGAGGGTTTTCCGGGTTCCCCGGCTTTCCTCCCTCCACAAAAATCAACTCCTAAATTCCCATTGGAATTACAGTGGATGAATAGCTACTCTGTAGAAATGCCACTGCTAAATCCCATTTATTTATTTATCTACGTACAATGGTATTAACCTATCCATCCCGTCTTTCTTCCTTCCACCTTAAGCTACCATCATAGCATTCACCCAACCATCCATTCATCTATGCACTAGTCCAACCATGGATCCATTCAACAATCCATGCACCACTTATCTAATTATGCAATGACTGGTTAACCCACCCATGCAACTATGCACCAATCCATCTACCCACCATCCATCCATCCATCCACGTCCATTTCATTTCTCATCCTTCTTTCTTTCTCATCTTTCTTTTTTTTCCCCCATCTCCCTGTTCCTTAATGCATTAGTTTTGGTTTTCAAGTAATGTTGACAGTTCTAAGATTATTAATACAATTTATTTTCTGTCTTGTCACAGATAGCAAAATGGGGCAGTCTCTCCCAAACAAGAATGCCAGTAATGGAAGCAATTTTCATGTTAGATGCTTTCATTGACGAAAGTGACCCAGACACAGACCTTCCCAATTCTATTCATGCATTCCAAACTGCAGAAAGAATCCGCGAGACTCATCCTGACAAGGATTGGTTTCACCTGGTTGGTCTTCTCCATGATCTCGGCAAGGTTCTGGCTCTTTGGGGGGAGCCTCAGTGGGCGGTTGTTGGTGACACATTCCCTGTTGGGTGCAAGTTTTCAAGCAAGATTGTCTTTGCAGATACGTTTATAAACAACCCGGATAATCTTCATCCAAACTATACGTGAGTATTTTGACCATTTATATTCTTCCATTTCTTGACAGTTTAGCTAGATTTTAGTTATTGTAAACACATATATTAAAGCCAGGGTAATATGTACATGTTTCAAATGTTTGCGTGCATTTGATAAGCAATATTTGTGTTTGATGGCTTTTCAACTGCTTGCTTCTGGTGATGCCCAGATCCACCATAAATACTTGTATAGAGTGTTGTCATGTGACACAACATGTACAGCAACCATCTTGGTGTACCAAAACAATATGCTTTCTATTTCCAGGGAATTGAACTCTATATTTATGCAAAAAAACTGTGCAGAGAGTTTTCATTTTGGTACACCAATATGGCTGCCTTCTCACATGAGTGAAAAAGGTCTAGAGATTGGTTGACAGTGTAATACTTCGTACATGTACATACAACTAACAAATACAACTAATAAAGGGGTTATCAATTAAACATTAATGTGATTAGTTTCACAGTATTCTACGTATGCTATAAGCCTGGACATTTCCTCATTTCCTTTATTATAACAGCTTGATATCACTACTACCACTATCCTTTTCAATTCTTTTCACCCTTTATTTAGAATCATAAAGATAGTACGTACACTGGCATCTCACCCATGGGGTCTAATTTTAATTCCTGGACTAGATAGGAACATGAAGATAGGAAGACTTAATTTAATGAGGATTGCACTAAATAGCTACAGAGCTAAGAAAGTTGTGGCCATCAAATTCACACGGGATTGGAATAGACTTTGTTTAAAAGTCTTTTTTCTGTCCATTGGAAATATACCCCTTGTACTGCAGGTAGCACATTGGAATGCAGCTCAATTTGGAGGACATAACATTACAGGTTTCCAATTCTCAGGAGATTGAAATTCTTTTGTTTTGTCCTCCAAATTGAGCTGCTTTGACATCACATGCAAGGGGTCTATTGCAAGGGTAGTAATGGTAATGTTATGAAATGCAAACAACTCAAGTTTATTTGCAGCAAAAACAAGTTCTTATGACTGTTTTTTTAATTCATAGCTCCAAGTATGGAATTTATGGAGCTAATTGTGGTCTTGACAATGTTACTATGTCCTGGGGTCATGATGGTTTGTGTTGAAATCTTGTTTTTTTAGTCACTGGGAATCCTCTAACATTACATAATTATACAGCTTCTCATTAATCCCATATAGGTAACTGTCCAATTATTTTCTTAATTGGACAGGTCTTGTTGATATGGGATTAATTAGGCAGCTATATAATTAATAGGTAATGGGATTTCATGTTACCGCAATCAAGAAATAATTAGACTCGAAAAATTCCTCTGACTGCCAAATTGGACTCGGCCTACGGCCTCATCCAATTTTGGAAGTCCTTAGGATTTTCCTCGTCCAATTGTTTCTTAATTGGATAGCATGGAGTCCTATTACATATACAAATCCAAAGGTCCCTTGGGGAAGTCTGTCTCTGCCTACTGGCAAACAAACTTTAAAATGCTTTGTATCTAGATTTTGAAAGCATGTTACAAGCAAAAAATAGCAATTTTGAAAAAGGGGTGAGATGGGATAGTCTCAAATAGCTATTTTACATCCCTGGTTTGCAGTGCATTGTGGAATTCCTTGGGAATCATTTTTATAAAGTAGTACCTTTTGTCAAGTAATTAAGTTAATGTCATTTTATTCAAGGGACCGTCGTAATTGGGGAAACCTGTGACGGTATCCGTTACCTCTCGTCTGCTTGTAATTTGTTTATATTTTTCATTTTTTTTTACTATGATTTGATGTGAGGTAAATGCTAAATAAAATAAAATAAAATAAATAAATTCCAGATTGCAGTGTATGCTATACTTTAAATATTATGAGATAAAGTAAATTAATTTAAAAAAAGTTATCAAATGAATGTTACTTCAACTCTTGATGAACAAATTAAATGACTTTTGGGATTTTTATTTCAGAATACATGTACCGTGTGCTCAAGGGTAACAATTGCACTATTCCAGAAGAAGTAAGTAATAGTTATTACTTGATTTCTTTTGACACTTTAGAACTGTCTTTGTGGAATGTTCTTTAGCTAAATTGCATGTTTGCAATAAATTCTTTCTGGTTGACAGCACATTGGTGGTCAGTGTTTGACCAACCATTTGGAGCAGATTTTTAAAAAACTATGGGCATCAGAAATGGGTAAATTGGGGTCCATAGACAAAGAATAATTTGTTTTCCCTGCTTCTTTTTCCAAATTTCAGGGACTGTACATGATCAGGTACCACTCATTCTATCCCTGGCACTGTTCTGGTGAATACAACTATCTCTGCAATGACCATGACAAGGAGATGCTACCTTGGGTCTTGGAATTCAAGTAAGATGGTTTTTATTTTTGTTTCATATTATTTCTTTTTTTTTATACTATAATTACATTTCCCTCTTTCTGACCATTTCTAGGTTACATTTTGACAAAATAAATAAATGAATGAATGATTGATTGATTGAATGAGTGGTTATCTGGGGCTAATCTACTGAATCCATGTATGCATAATCAAAGTCTGATAACACCATTTCTCTTTCAGCAAATTTGATCTATACTCTAAATCAGATGGACTCCCAGACGTCGATGCTATCAGGCCATACTATGAAGGTTTAATCGCTAAGTATTGCCCTGGAGAACTACAGTGGTGAAACCCGTGGCAAAAATAAGATTAATATTGCACAGGATAAAGTTAATAAAAATTTATTTGTAAATATTTAAGTTGCACAATAATATATGATGGGATGTGAAAAATATCATTCCCATAGAGGTAAGAGTTTCCAATGTATTATATATCTATAATGTAACTGATACAGCTGTACGTGTAAATGATGCAGATGGTGCTAATACGGTGATGATGATGATGATGATGATGATAGGATGATAACAATGGGTGTTTTAGCCCCCAGTGGTTTAGTCCCACCTTCCAGTGGTTTAGCCTCACTCTTTAAATGTGAATATTAAATGGTGATGATGATGATGATGATGGGAAGATGACGATGATGATTATGTTGCCATTGATGATGGTGATGATAATTATGTTGACAATGATGATGGGAATAGTATGATAACAATGCTGATGTTGTCAATGATAGAATGATGATGAAGATGCTGATGTCAGTACCACAGTAATGATTATGTTGACAATGATGATGAGATGATTAGGATGATGGTGAAACGATATGATGAATGACAATGCTGATGTTGCCAATGGTAATATGATGATGGGATGATGATGGTAATGATAGTAAAGTAAATGCTTCTTTCATGAGTTTTGACAAACTTAAATTCCTATAGCTCTCTTCAGTCCAATAACCATAACAACAGTATAATTGCCTAGATGGGTCCAGGCTTCAAAATCCACACCTTTAATCATAGAGTAGACTTAACTACAGTGGTAATGAACATGTGCAATTGTATGAAAACTATAAATAATACTGTACTATATAATTACAACTGAGCTTGGACCACACTGATTACATAATACCTTGGCACAGCTTATATACAACTCATTAACATATAGACCCAGGCCTCTAGGAATATATTTCTCTCTCCATTCCAACTCGCAAGCTCCTTGTTCATTACAAGATAAATCTAATTAATGATAAGTAAGAAGTAATGTAAGAAAAAAATCCAGTGATGATAATAATTTTATATTCATGTTAATTATTTTTAATTTTTACTGCATTTCTGAGGTGTTTGCTTGTAATAATTATTGTAAGATTAAAGTTTTCATTTTTATGTATGTTTTAAAAAAAATATTATTCAAATACGTTATTATACACTTGTTTACAGTTATTTTGCTTTCCTGAACCATCCAAGATGCCTTCAATTCACTTATTACGTAATTATTATCATAAATTGCATGAATGACTATTTTCCTTTGAGAATTTTGTTTTGTAAATATTGATACAACTGATACACATCATTCTTGTTGTTTGCTTGTATACATTCAACCTCCACTATGTTCTGCTCCTTTGCCTCGGCATTTGTTCTTAATAAACGAACCCAAAATGAGCATAAAGAGGTCTTCATAGCATCACCAGAATCGGTATCATCAGATTGTAAATTATCTCCTTTTTCATTCTCTAATCCTTGTTCATCAAAGTTCCTTTGGTTCCTAGATAAAATTATTTGATTTAAGTTGCTGTTGTCAGTACTTTTAATTGATTCGGAAGAATTCCTGCTTTGCTCATCATTCTCAAATGCTGTTTTCATTTCATGTGATGTTCCAGAACTGCAAACATTTTCTATCAGATTTTGCGTACTTTTTCTATCAGATTTTATTTCCTGATTTTCCTCATCTTTTAGCTTGTTTTTATTCAATGAAGCAGTGTTTGCAAGTCTTTGAAGTTGTCGTCGTTTTTTCCTTTGATGAGTCCAGGTGATTTGACTAGCTGAAYATCGATAGGAACAGACTTTCTCATGTGATTGGTGTTCCTCAATAACGATCTACCAAAATAAATGAACCAAAAACTAAGAAGCTGGCTGCATACCACATGAAATGGGAAAGCATAATGGTAGATTATTCTTAAAATGTAGCAAGCCTTTTGTTGTTTGAAATCCATTTTTACCAGCTTTATTTTATTGGTTAGTCAGTAAGAGGCAGGGTATGGCTTAATCACAAATGGACACAATTTAGTTTCTTAGATTTATTTAAAACCCTCCTCCTATATATCCAACCTAGTGGTCAAAGATCAAGAATACGAAAAGCTTAACATTATACAGGCACTGGAATGAAAGAGTAAATGAGCCTACACTCTTGACAAACTTCCTCCCCACCCACCCACCAAACGACACCCCATCTCCCAAAGATCCTCTGCATAATATGACTAGTTAACCTATTGTCTAAATGAACATTACTCTTACTTACATATTGCAGGTGTAACTAAAAATGGATAATAAACCCTAGTGCACTAATTCCCAATATGGGGGTAAAAACAAAACCATCCCCTTCTCTTCAGGATTGAAATCTTTTGGGCTGATAATAAATATTTTTTGTTTTGCTTTGGTAGTGATTTAGTGTAACAGGTTCATGAATATACCTTTAAATCCATAAGAATAGCTTTGATAAGCTTGATTACTTGTTCAAATATGGGATCCCCATCATCACACTTCAGTACAGCACATTCATCAGGGACAATGAATGATAATGGTTTGCTTTGTTTTCTGGGTCGTTTTGCTGGTGGAGGCTGCAAAAAAAAGGATCACAAATTTATATCTTACAATGCCATCTCAACTGGAACCACTTACAATGAACAAAAAAAAAAAAAAAACCAAAAGAGGTCAAATTAGGTTAATTTACAGTAGGCCCAGGTCAAACATCGAACTCCACATGCTGTCTTCTTTGATGCCATTAGGTTTGCCTCGAGTGAAGTTTGACATTTGACATGAGCCTTAGTCTCTAGATACTGAAAGACTTACACTAACTGCACCAACAGAAATGTTTTGTAAGAATGTCCAGGCCACGCCCCATCTAGTGGTTTTCCCCTGATTGAATGTAGTGGTGGTTACATTGGGTACCTGCAATATATACACAAGATATGTAACATACATGACGTAAGTGCAATAATGGGTGTGGGTGTGATTGCCACCATGCCCCATCTAGTGGTTTTCCCCTGATTGAATGTAGTGGTGGTGACATTAGGTACCTGCAATATATACACAAGATATTAACATGTATGATGTAAGTGCAATAATAAGTGGCTGTAATTGCTGCCACGCCCCATCTCATGTTACATGCATGACGACAAGGTTGATAATGGGTGTGGCAATTATTGCTGTCTCACCCAACCCATAGCTTTGCACTGGCCATGGTGGTGGGTACTTACTTTTCTCTCTTGTAAGTATGCCAAAACAGACTTCATGCTTGTCTTTTTACCAACCATAGTTGTGTACCAACTAACAAGAAAGCAGAGCAGAAATTATGGTCACAGCCCTTATAATAGCCCTAGGAAGGAATGGGTCAGCTATGCCTAACTTTGATTAGACCAGAGGTTGTTTCAGGGTTCAATCTGTGAGTTAGCCATGCCCTACCTTAGATCAGCCCAAGAACTCAGTTGATATATTACCTGACTTTTTCCTGCAGTTGTAAACTATCATCAATGATTTGTTTAACAAATTCCACCTCACCCCCACTAGTGACAGTCTCTGTTTTGCTACCAGTATTGACAGACACCGGGAGGGCACGTTTGTCTGTCCTGGCTGAACCAAAAGCAGCCTCGTCTTCGCTGGAGAAAAAAGGAGGGTTACACATGCAGAACGTCACTTGTTGATGATTGGCATCTGCCAGAGGCTTGTGTAAGTAACTGCCAGGACTGACTTGTTGGACTTAAATTTGAAACAAATATCAACAATTATTGGATGAGTTGAGTATGATGTCATAAATTATCAAGACTCCAGCCAGAGGTGAGAGGCAAGTGTTTTTAATACCACCTCTTTTAAAGAGTTTACTATAAAATGGAAAAAGAAGTTATATACCTGTTATTTTGTCTGTTAGTCCATTTTGCTTGATGTTATTCTCGGCATATTTCAGAGATGATTCATCTACTTCAGTAGCAAGGAATTTCCAGTCATTTAATTTAGCACCAAGAAGAGGATAAATACAGGATGAACCAGTACCTGTGAAAAGAAAATGAAAAAATGAATGAATAGATAGATGGATGAGTATTAAATAAATGACAGGATGGATGGATAGATGCATTCATAAATGGATGGATAAAACTGACAGAATAATTGCATAATTGGGTAGGAGGATAGATCATGAATGAAAGGAAAGATGGATGGGTGAATGGATGGATGTAAGGAAAGATGGATGGGTGGATGGATGGATGAAAGGAAAGATGGATGGGTGGATGGATGGTCAGATCCGTGGATGGCTCATGATAGATTGGATGAATGAAAGGATGAATGGAGGAGTGAGTGGACAGATGGAACATCACGGATAAATGGATAAAAAATGGAGGTAAGAAAAGAATAAATTAGGACACAAAATAAGTAGAAATTATAAAAACAAACTTTACAATATGAATGACAGCATTACATTTTGTAAACTAACTACATCGTGAAGTGTTCCTATGATGAATAGTCAGGGTTGTTTGATCTAGTTTAACTCCAAAAACTGAGCAAAAAGTCACAGAAACATTAAGAGTAATCAGAGCTTGAACAGCCCTAAATTGGATTTAAAAAAATTCATAACAATTACTAGTAAGATTATGACCTACCAATGTCTACACCAATGACATCTGTTTGTGTGTCTCTACCAGGCAGACACCCAACCAAGTCTTCCACCCAGAGGATATAATTCAGTCGTAGTGGTACCGTAGGAATGAGCCGATCCAAAGGAATTTCAATCTCTAAACCAAAATCATTTTCCAGCAAAGCACACGTCAAAGCTCTCAAAGCAGCAGGGTCTTTGAAGTCAATGATCACAGCTCCGCTTGTATTTTCACGACAATATTGCCTAAAAAACGGATATTTAATAGCCAGCTCCTTAAAATCAGGAGGATTGTCTTTATAAATGCTTCTGGGATGCATTTCTATAGCTATATATAGTCTTTCTTTCAAGTTTTGGTTAAAAATTTAAGCTCAAAATATCTCGTTGACGTTTTTAGTGTAAATTCCGCGGCCATGTTGGACGTGAGGATATTTTGGGAGACTAGGACTAGTGCCAATCTTCTCGTATAAAAGATGACGTCACAAATATAGGTTGTGATGTCATCATATATGCATGTGGGAAATCTAAGTGGATGGAAGGAAAAATGGAAGGASCTTTCTTATGTATTCCTTTTTTTTTTCGTTTTCCCTTTTTTTTATTCCAATATTTTTTCAAATACACTAGATTTCAGATACAAAAGGTCTCATTTTGATGTTTTTTTTTCAATGAAAACCATTTATTTTGACAATATTAATACAACATATATAATAAAATATATTACACACTATTTTTTCGATGGACATCAATACGTTTAACGACTAACTCGTTGTGCAAAACAGAGCAAAACTTCGAATAAATATTCTTGAGCTAAGAAAAGAGTTTAAAATCCTTTTTATATTTTTACTTTGGATTTGCAAAAGGATCACACATGAAAGACGATGATGCAGTTTACTAATCGGAGTTTAGGGTGAGACAAACGCCTTGCAGGACCCAGTGAGATTCGTGCTCGAGGGATGCTAGATCGGCTTCAAAGACCAGGCCGACGCCCATGGCGTTACGTCTCTGGGACGTGGTGTATACTGGAGTACGGAACGTGTTCTGGTGACAAAATCATCATACATTAATAATAATGCCATTTTCCCCCATAAGTAGTTCGTCTACAAGTATCAGCATCATCATCAACATCATCACAACTAGTGCATGATAATAATCATCAACATCATCATTACAGCCAACACGTCACCGTGTTTCATTATCATCGTGATTCCTGCCCATCATCCCCAGTTAATATTATCATAAACATCATTCACTCATCATTATAAACATCATCATCATCATCACCAGTATCAGTATCGTTATTATCATCTTCGAGGCCGGTTTATGCATAAGTATACGACATTGAAGTGGTTTTCCAGTGTCTTCCAGTTTGTCTCATCGATTTTCATTCACTAGTCGAAAACCGCTTTATCATGCACCAGCACCATTAACGATCATTATCCAGTAATCTTCCATATCTCACCTGTAGCTTCAGGCGGTGTGCCTCAATAGGTATAACCTTCAAAATAGGCAGCTCTTCTACCAATATTTTAGGCCTTGGTCTACGAAGACAAGAACCCTCAAGGTCCCATGAGGCACCTTCCAGGTACAAACCGCTGACAAAACATCCCGAGTGCGCCCTCTCAGTGACTTCTTCAGGGGTCTTGTACTTAGTGACGGTCGTGTAGAGAGTCGAACGATCCAACGGCCATCCGTTCTTACGACAAGTGGCTTGCACAAGAGCAGTAAGGTATGATTCAGGGATGTGTAACCCTGACAACCATATGACTGCGGGCTCGCCATCGTTGACCTATGGAATAGATGCGAAAATGATTTCAGTTCTATTTGATTTCATTTTCATTACTCTTTTGCTTTTAAGAACTATTTATTTTATTTCAGGATTGAGCTAGAGTATGAAATATAATTGAGGAAACGAAACGGTTGGTTCCTATTTTTTCCCTTTCTTGCTTTTTTTATCTCAACTTCATCATCTTTATTATTATTATTATTGTTATTATTATTATTATTATTATTTTATTTATTTATTTAAAAAAAATTTTTTTATTATTATTTTTATTATTTTTTTTGCTAATCTAGTTGCTAATCCATTTTCTTTCTATTCTTTTTCTCTTTTTTTTCATTCTTCATTTATCTTTTCCTTCGTTATTTCTTTATGACATTTCCGCATTATTTCAAAATTTAACTGTCCAAAATCATCTCATTCAAAAAAGCGGCATTACAGCACGTGAATATTCATCGCAAATGCACTCGGTTGTGTAGATGTCAAAATGTTCCGTGCTCTACAGCAAGGTGTAAATATCTTCACTTCTCTATACAACCTAACGTAGCTGTTCGCTAAGCTTGAGCAAAGGAAGTCGATGTTTTCCTTCTACTGGTAGTCATTTCCCAGCCATAATGATAACAATCTTTAAGCCAAACTCCTCGACACTCAACTGAAGATTCGCATGATGCAAGCTGGACTACAATGCTTTTATTGCAAAGCTTTGAGGCGAACACAATCGACACTGGATGCACAGACTCTTAGATTTGAAGACTCAAGCCTACTTTATGTGAACATTTGAGCATTTAAAAGGTAAGGCTATTGTTTTTATCATGCTTAATCGGAAAATGGATCCAAAATTTAAATCTATACATTATCAGTAGCAGTAGTAGTGCGTATGATAATTTTTATCCGGATATGAGTCGGTTGTTTTATTGTTCTGTTTTATTGAAATGCTATGTGTTGACAAATCGACTTTACATCTTTTCTCTTTTAGTCGTGTTCTCGTTGTTTTTATCAAGTGAGCATATTTCCTACTTTTTCTCTCTTCTTAAAATGTGTTAAATACCGAGTTAACATTAAACCGTTTTTACATTCCTCCTTTCTTCAATCTCTCCCTTCGTTTCCTCATTTCTTCGTCCTCTCCATTTTCCTCTCCTCTCCTCTCCTCTAGTTTCACTTATACTCGATTCGATATCTATTAGAGCAAAGAAGACCTACCCATCGGTTATACTGATCCAATCTCTTCATAAAGTGCTCCATCCAGTTACCCAGGGACTTCAGAGTTGCTGGTGCTAACTTTCGCCAAGATGTTGGAATTTGACCATTAAACAAACACCTAGACACCTCGTCCAGTTCATTACTCATACCAACTTCACCTGCCAATGCCTACAAACAGAATAAACTGGTTTAGAATAACAGGAGACAATAAAAATCAGAGGCAGGGAATTGTTTGAAAAATCTACCTAAAACATTCTTCTTTCCTCTAGTCAACAGTGTAGTCAACTTTCATTCGAACTTTTTCGTTGTTTTTCTTATCTACGTTGTCCATGTATGTCTCATCACTTTCATTACTAAATGCAAAATTAAGTAAACACCCAATATGTGGGGGTGCTGAGGACTCTTTGTCTCTGTCTCTCGTACCTTAGTCGTATCCTTATCAGGCTATATAAGATCAGCCTCCTCTTTAAAGTCTTTTCCCCTCCCACTTCCCACCCTACCCAACATTCTTATTACTTTTAAATCTAATCTTCTAAACACCAATCTCTTGTTATTCTCTATCTATCAATACTCATCCCCTCCCCCCTCCGCCACGTTTCCTCATTCTCCTTCCATCGCCCATCACAGTGGCGGATTCAGGGACGGTAGTATAGGTGACTAGTCACCCCCTTTTGCTCAAATTTCTCAGTATATCGTTAGTAACAGTCACCCCCCTTTTTTTCGCGTTCCTGGTATAACCTTCGTACTAGTCACCCCCCTTCTTAAATTCCTGGGTCCACCCCTGCGTCATCTACACGTACTCTCTCCAGTTAGTTCACTTACCCTCTGCAAGTTGATCAACGATGTAGACATTTTCTTAATCAACACGTTAAATCTATCCAGTTCTTGTAGCAACACAACAGTTGTCGGTGTTATCTCACCGATGTTCTTTCGTATCCTATCCACATCGAACAATGGCGGTAGTTTCGTTTGAATGTCACTCGCAATCTTGGCGATGAACTCCTCTCTGCTGATTCCCCCAGCATCCCCTGCAGTCTGAGGTTGTAGTTCAACGAGTTTGAGCCACATATCCTTGAAAATAGGAAAAGAATGTTAAACGTGGTGGGTTACAATGGACGCGGGAGACGTTTTTCAATTTCATTCTGGCGTTCAAAATTGTTAAAGGAGAAAGAGAGAGATAAGATAGAAGGGGGAAGGGAGAAAGGAAGCTTAGTCGTCCTACTAGGTACACATCATTTGCGTGGTTCACTCCCAATAGAGTAGTATTGATCTAGCACCATTGACTATTTTGTTCAAATCAACTGTCATTTTCGTCCCTTCTCTTAACATTCGGGCTTATTATTAACAATTCAAGTTGTTGCAGACGGACAAGTTCTTCACATACTGGGTTTTTTATTCCAGCGCTTTTAACTAGCATTTTAACCCATGAATACGTGACATTGATTTATCATTAATAACTATTGTTACCTTAGCACTATTGGTGTAGTAACCAATCTCTGCGTTAGGATGGAGTCCAAAAACATCCGGGGTATTAGCCAATGGTAAGGTCTCGATGTTGTCAACATACACGTCACGGTTGGCTTCGATTTTACCCCCCTCCCCCTTGGGAATACAATAGTCCACCTCTTCGTTCTTGTAGAAATGGAAAGGTTGGAAGGTATCGAAAATGAAGTCACCCATGTATTCGTCCATGTAGGTCTTGACGACACGCCGGTCGAAGTCGTCGATCACACGACCACCGTACATCACCTAGGCAACGAGGTAATTGAAATGTGATATTAGTTGCCATGACAACCTCATCTTGTACCTACAGACTTTTCAGGGTTTTTAATTGCAGCCTCCTGCTCATTATCGTTATGATCTTTAATAGTATCATAATCATCATCATGAGCATCATCCAACCATCGTTATCTCACCATCACTGTCATCATTATTATCATTATCATCACAATCATCACTGTTATCTTCATCATCACCATTGCGTTGGTTAACAATATCAAGAGAAAATCATCAACATTCTATCATCATCATTGTCGACTTCGTAATGTAGATCACATTCGTCATCAACTATATCTAACAATACCATTATCAACATCATCAACGACGACTGTGGCATTCAAAAGTTCCTTTTAAAAATGTAGACAATTTTTAGCAAGTGTAGTAGCTTCATCGCAACATCAAAACTATCAGGATCCAAAGCACTCACCTCTCCAATCAGATACTTTAAACTTGCCCATGGAATCTTCACATCGGTATTTATCAAAGACTTGGTCAAGTATGTGTTTAGCAACGTCATGCAAACTCTAAAGTCAGATTCATTGAAGTCGTACGCGATGTTCCAGCCAGATTTTCCATATTTTCGTCTTTCTTGTACCACAGCATGGAAGAATGCAAGTACGAAGACCAGAGGTGGGAAGGCTGGATGAGTGCAGTCAGCGAGCATTTGATTGGATATCTTGTGATAGGTGCTGCGTAGGTTTAGTTTAAGTCCATTAGGTGGTTCAGTGACGACCTGAAAAAAACAGTGCGGACTTGTTAGATATTGAAGCAAGAACCACGGGCTGCCGAAAGGTGATTAAGACACATTTCTGTCCCCCTGCACAACATTCTGAGGTAATAAGCAGGAAAGTAGTGTGTTTTTTCAATGGCCATTGTTAAAAGTAAATGCGGCACTTCAAAGAGAATAGTACTTTTAAGTATGGCGTCAATCGTATGGAAAAACCACTTTCGTCTCCAAAACAAAAAGCGGTTCTATAGAGATTGTTCTTGCTTTTTCTTCAAGACAGGATTTGTTTGCCAAAGTTCGAATTCTTTCAGATGGAGATTAAATCATTGAGAACATTTTTCGCTTTATTTTAGCGGTTGTTGTTAGCAGTTGGACCCAGAAATACGTCACAACTAAAAAGCTCTAAAGTACCTAAGCCACTAACGACCAGCCCCTATCGGCCAAACCCAATCACTAGTAGACTAGAATCGACCTACCACAGGTAGCCCGAGTAAAACTGCGACACGTACCTTGAGTGATCTTTGCAGGATTCCAATAGGGAACTCAGGGGTAGGATCTGTTGTCAACCACAGACGGAAGTCAGGATGAGGCTTGCTGATTCGTTCCAGAACCTTCTCCAGTTCTCTCAGCCATTTGACGAGTAAGTGACAGTTTTGAAGCATCAACCACTGACCACGTGCTATTGCGGTCTCCAGGAGTTGAAGAGCAAGCTAATGGAAGAAAAATAGTTAGACACTTTTCTGTGTGATTGTGTTACGATAGGTTTACTGTGCGGATACTCCAACCGGGACAACTATGAGAAATTAGTATCATTAACCAATCATATTGCGACATTTAGTTCAATATTTTTAACCTGCCAATCAAATAGCGCATCGATATAATAAGAGCGTGAGAACGTGATAATCTGATTGGTTAACGCTATTATCAGTTCAATTTCTGTCTAGTTTACCGTTATCTGATTGGTCAGTTTTATTCAAGAAGGTGACGCACCTTTTCTTGTCCTTGTCCCATAGCAAGAAACTTCAACTTGTTTCCTCCGAAGCCAGATCGTTCGGCGAGCTTCAGAAGATCACTCGCAGGATCAGAACCAGGGCTCAGGATGAATATGATTGGTGAATATGGAGTTGATTGTTCAAAGATCGCTTCGAAGCTGATGACAGGAGGTGTGACATACTTCTCGCCCATGCGACCCGTGACGAAGTTGGTTATGGCGAGATATATGCGATCAATACGAAAGCAACGCAGAAGAAGAAGTCTTTGGAAGTCAGACAGGGACTCTTCGTATTTTCCTGGTAAGGGATGTGATTCTGGGGCGTCTAAGTCGTTCAGCTAAAACAATATCAAGTAATAAAGACTGTATTAGTCATAACTACAAGTAATAGTACCTAACTACACTATTAGACCTTAATTCTTTTTCTTTTTTCTTTTCGTGTTCCAAAACGTTGTAAGCTTCAATACTCTTACAACAGAAAACTGAGATGGAGAAAAAGGTGCATCGTTGGCCAGGCTTTCATTTTTTCCAGTTTCAGATTAGCCCAAATCGAATTCGTACTGCAGTTAAAGACGACATACAAAAGATGTTTTATGCTTTTCCACTCCACTCTGTTCTCGTTTGATGTGGGGTCCAAATATAAGGCAAAAAGGTACAGAATGTACGCTAGGAAAAGGTACAAGTTTCGAATGCCTGAAGAAACCGTACATTGTTTACGTGTGAATTAGCTAGTGACATCATGTTCTTATAGATACGGTAGCATGGCTAGACTTCTACTCTGATTACAAATATAAATGCCCTAAAATATAGCTTGACCATATTACCTCTTTCCAAGCTTTCTCATTACGTTCGATATCATCAGCAAGCGAAGCAAACACTTCCGGTGTGACAGACACCAGCCGAATGACATCCTCCCAGCCTTGATCTGGTATCCATGGAAACGGTTTTTGGCGGGAACTTTTCTCGAGAGCGATGTTACCTTTGAGGAAGAAGTCGAGCTCCTCTTGTTTGATTTTACCATCAGCTTCCATAATTTTGATTGTCATTTGGAATGAGAACAACAACTTGTGACGTTCAAATAAACCTGGAGAACAATCAAATTGCGAGGATTATAAACTAGCATTATGATTGGTTAAGAGCCATTTCTGAATTTTAAACCGTGAGGAGGAGAGGACTACTCTGGATAACCCTCTGTGACATACCACAAAAACCATGATATATTGATTAACAACGCACCTGCACAAGCATGTTATACACATTCATAGTCAATGTATCCAATAAACCACAGAAACCATGGTATATTGAATAACAACGCACCTGCACAAGCATGTTATACACATTCATAGTCAATGTATCCAATACACCACAGAAACCATGGTATATTGAATAAAAACGCACCTGCACAATCATGTTACACACATTCATTTTCAATGTATCCAATACACCACGGAAACCATGGTATATTGAGTAACAACGCACCTGTACAAGCATAGTTATACACATTCATAGTCAACGTATCCATGATATTTTTAAGTCTCTTGGGCAATATTGTATCAGGTAAACTCTTCCTCAGCGATAAACCGAACACCTCCAAGTACGAGTTGAGAGAGTATTGATACATGGAGTTAACAACTGACATCTCTGACAACACGAAGAAGAGGACAGCTCCTAGTTTTGCTGCTGGTCTGTACCCGTCACGAAGCTTGTCGATGTCGATGGCTGTCTTGGCTCCAAGTTTAAGCTTCTCCGATACCTAACAATGGAAAATTTGGCATATTTACTTGTTACCTATGAGTCACTCAGTGTGTGCATCTTGCTTTGTGTTTCCTCTTTTACATTTTTATATTTAGACAGAGAGTCAGTTTTAAATGATTTTCCCTTAAATGCCACTTTATTCTTTCCCTTCTCTTCATTGCTTTTCTGTCCTTTTATTCTTTTTCTGCCTTCCTTTGGCTTTATCTCTTTTTTCTTCCTTTTCTTTCCTTTCATCTCCTCTTCTCTCTCTTCATATTTCAGTTTTCCTTTTCTTTTACTTCCTTTTTCTGTTTTCCTTTTTTTTCTTTCTTAATTTCTTTCTTTCTTCCTTTCTGTTAAGAGTTAGCCTTACCTCTACAGCCTTGGTTTTAGTGTCTTCTAGAGTCTGAACCAGCTCCACATTATCCAACATGTTGCCTTGTGAGGTGGCTAACTCACGCAGTAAAGTATCTTCAAGGTCCTTCAGGAGACGCTTGTTCTCGCTGCAAGATGAAGTGTAGGACTTGTTAGGATTTGTTGTCATAATAATTGGTCAAAACAGATAACAATACACAATGGTTATGATGATAATGACGATGATAAAAGATGATCATGAAGATGACATTAACATGATGATATACACCTATTTCAATAAACGTTGTCATTGCGTAGTCTAGATAGGCGATAGGTCATTCCGAGACGAAAATGGTTTCGTCGACTACAAACAATATTGAATCGGTCTTAACACCAAGGTCCATGTTCTTGACGAGAATAAGAAGCAGTAACACAAGTCATTCCAGCTATTCTTGGATCTTGGAATGACCCATCTCCTATTATATCGCTTTTCGCCTATTGCCTATCGCCTTTGTCGATGACAACGTTTTTTGAAATAGGTGTATGATTAAAAATGAGGAGAGGGAACGGAAGAAGACAGGGATAAGATGAATATGACAGTAAGGAACCGAAAAAGAAAAAGAAAAAAAGAAAAAAATAGTATCAGACCTTGTCTCTTGAATGAGTCTCTCTCTTTGTTCCTCTAACTCTTTCCTCTCAAAGCCAACAATAACACTGAGTAACTGGTCTTCAAGACCCTTCATGGTCACGGTATAGTTGACCACCATACATCGACTGAAGTGAGCGGGTGTGTACTTAGGGTTAGACAGCTTGGTGTTGAGGTACAAACGAAAACTTGAATCATAATCGACTTCCTTGTCACCCAACACTACGAACTCTCGTCCAGGTTCACCTGAGAATAATATCAAGTTATTAGTTATCATTATTAATTATTGCCAGCCACTGGTAGCTAGATAAAACAGCGCTGTAGCTGGAATGACCAAGGCAAATAGCGGTCCAGTAGATTTTGGGACGTTGAAAATAGAGGGCAAATAGTCTATCATTTAACTTCTTCATTTCCGGTAAAGAAAGAAATAATACTCATGAAATTGTTTAAGACGAGAAGTTTCTTTTTACCTTTGATGTTCTTTTCCAGTACGTTGTCTATAACTGGATCAATGTACTCATCGACGTCTTTGAACAGAATAGGGAAGCCATACTTGATGGCTAGCTCAAGCTGCTTCAGGAAGTCATGGTCGTTGAATGTTACTACCTAAACATTATTTGGTAAAGGGGTTAAAGAACAGACTTATAACATCGTCACCATCCTCATCAGCAGCACCTTTACTATCACCACAGTTAACATCAACAGCAACGTCACCATCATCATCAACATCATCATCATCATGAACACTCATCAGCAACTATGAATATCATCAGCAGCAGCAGCAACTATCAATATCATCATCATCCTCGTCATCATCCACTATCGATATCATCATCATTACCATCATGAACACTCATCAGTAACTATTAATATCATCATCATCCACTATCGATATCATCATCATCATCACCCACTATCGATATCATCATCATCATCATTATCACCCACTATCATCATCATCATCATTATCATCATCATCATCAGTTACTATTAATATTATCATCATCATCAGCATCAGCAGCATTAGTATCACCACCTGTTACCATCAACATCAACATCAACATCTCCAACACCACTACCATTGTCGAATCCTAAGCGAGTCATACAGTCAAACACACCTTTAAATTATTCTTCTCCTCTTTCTTCTTAATCCAGTTCAACGCTTGTTGCTGAGGGTCAATACACAAGGGGTATCTACTGGCTTGTGTGGTTAAGATACCATTCTCGATTGACAGCTCATCAGGGGGGAGCCCTTCTGATGTCCACTTACTAATCTCAACGTCATTGATCAAAAGGGCTTCAAGTTTAAATGGTTGACTCATTGGGATTTGACGAGCAAGGACATCCTTCTCCCATTCCCCACGTAGCATGTCCCCCCGGAAATCCCACGTAAAGGCACCGAGGTAGCTGAGGAAGGCTGCTCCAAGGAGGCAGTCGCCAAGGAGACGTATTCGCTGCTGCTTGAGTTCTTCAAGGTCACTTGTCCATCTGAAATAATCAAAATTCCATATTTGAGTAAACATTCAATGAATATTTTGTATGCAAGTGACGTCATAGCGGCCATCTTGGATGCAGACTCCAGTTGACTGAGGAGAAAGTGCTGCCCTTTTCGTTCCAAATGGTTAGATTTTCAATGGGTCAGATGATTACTTTATAGGGCGGTCCCGTCTATCCACACTAAATCATTACTGACCAATATTTACTACCTGATTTTCTCTGATCCCAAACCAGAGATCAGCTTATCAGCAGCTATTAATCGTCTCTCCATGATCTCAGCCTCTTCCTGCAGACTTGACTTCTCTCGCATAGCTGCATCGTATTTTTCTCCCAGTTTCTTTAACTCTTCCTCCAGAGCTTTCAATTCTTTTTCTATCTTCTCCAGTTCACGTTTACTGAGATGATAGTTACGTTCTAACCGGGCTACCTGTGATAGTGTTAGATATTTTGGATTAAGACTACATCGCAGTCACGCATGCGTAATACCAAAGTGTATCAATATGGGAGAGACTATGTAGATAGCAGTTGATGTAATGTATTCATAAAAATACAATGAATCACATCTAATGCAATAGATGGAAGGACAATAGAATACAGTAGATTTTCTGAATACATTACATCAACTTCCAAATGTTGGCAATTCAGCTTTGATTGTTATATTTTAAGAGAACACAACATTGCCTACATTTCTGCCAACTTTAAGAAGTTGTTAAGAAGAGATAACTAGTTAAAAACTAGTGTGAGCTGCGTCGGTGTTTCTAATGAGATAGTTATGATAAAAGGATAAATTATACACCGTGAAAAGATGAAAAAACTTACTGACGTTTCTTTTTTAAGGTTGTTAGTTGTGAGCTTTAGAAATGATGATATTAGGCATTTAAGCTCCAAATACATTTTCTTTAATTTCGCGCTGAATCCAATGACTTAAGATCAGTCCCAAATAAGAGAAAATGTATTGGGATACTTTAGTATATTAAATGACCTATATCTCAAGTGTTTTTTGCTCTACTGCTCTGAAATTCCTCACTATATCATATTTTGATATTCAGTATCTTAATGCCATCAAAATTCTTAAGTTTTTAAAAATAATGTTGTCACGTCATCACTATTAATCTTTACCTTTTCTCTCTTGGGTTTGATTTCTCTGGCAACGCTGCAGTAGCCCATGACGGCTGTGACGAACTTCAACAAGCCAGTACCGGCTTTACTGACTTCTTTCATTTCTTCAATCGTAGTGTTGAGCTCCTTTAACATGTCTCGACATCTCTTGACCTGTAAAAAAATGTCCATTACTATTATCATCAGTAATCAACATCATCATCATCATCATCATCATCAGTAATCAACATCATCATCATCATCATCACAATAATAATCATCACAATCATCATCTTCATCAACATCGTCTTCATACTCAATCCTATACCTGTCCAATGGTGATTCCATCAACATCATCATCATCAACATCATCATCATCATCACAATCATGATCTTCATCAACATCGTCTTCATACTCAATCCTATACCTGTCCAATGGTGATTCCATCAACATCATGATCATCACAATCA